TAAGAAGTTACTGCAGAACAGAACGATGTATTTACCTGAAACAGAACAGAAATGCCGATGACAATCTCAAGCATAACACAGAAAAAAATATCAAAATAATTTATTAAAAAAGTATACACACACAAATATTTCACTGGCCATATAGAAAAGCAGTTCAATGAGATTACTTTGAGGATGAGTGACGAGCGTCACGCTCCGTCCGCATTGTCCAGAGAGAATGAACGGATTATGTCTATTTCAGGGGCCCCGTATCTAATCTGGACATGTTACGAAAGACAACGGTAAGCCTTGTACCGATTTTATGAAGGTCTGTGAGAATGGTCCATTGTCCACTGTCCAACGTCTGAGTTATAAGTTGATATAATTGCGTCATATTGTGAATTAAAATTAACCTTTCATTTTCATTTATTTTTACCTTATTACATTTTGTCTTCTATACTCGTTCTTTCAAGTTCAGTAATATTTAAAAATATTTTAAATTATTTACGTTACAGGCCAATGTTAAACCACTATCACTTCAAAATATACCCTCACTCCAATGAATTTGGATGTAAACATCATCAGAAGTTACACAACAACAGTAATTAAGTTTTAGTTTATAAGATTATAATTTTTAACTTTTAACTTTACACCTGAAGATGGTTCAATGTAACCGAAACATGTAGTAAAAAGATGTACCAAATATGTAAATGATATTTTAATATCTTATGTATAATTTTATTTATATACAATTGTGATTAGACGGGGAAAAAACACGAATAATTGAGTCTGAGTTATATTCAAAACACGCGTCTCTGAAGTCAGCTCCACTGCCAGTATTCTTTTCTAAATTGTTCATGACGACGATCGCTAATGAACCCAGGACCATTCGAATGCAAGACCCTATTACTAATAGGGATTACACTATTTTTTTTTAATACTACATAAGTCCACCATTCTACGTTTGTCTCTATTTTACACAACAACCCAAAATGACGTTACGTTAAAAGAATAAAACTGAGAACTTCAGTAAGAGATGGAGATAGGAAATAGACGGATTAAGTGGAAAAAGGCCTTTTAATCCTTGCGGCAGACTGTGTCCATTACTCTCCATAAATAAGTAGTTTTCAGGGCGATGCCCGGGGGTAACAGCATGACGAATGTAAGAGCTTAAAGAAGTGGCTAGTGGAGCTCCTGCTAAAGGTGGATTGGTCCATCCACCGTCAATTATGCAAGGCAGCTCGTGATCACATGAACGGAACTGCGTTTCTGAAATTCCAAAACTAACTTATTGGCCTAATTCTCCAATGCAGACAAATAAAATATAAGGCAATATTTACATTTCAATGATTATCGAACTTCGTGTCCTTTAGATGGAGATAATACCCCGGGCCCTTCAAAACGAATTTATACCTAACCCAGTATTTTCTCTTTTGATGGACGTATGTCAGTATGATGACAAGAAGTCACCTGACGAAGGCAGCATAGCCAACTAGTGAAACGTTTCGTGAAGTCTATGAGATTTAAGGTTCTCAAGGCAGTGAAGATGTAGATATTTGTTTTCTGAATAGGAACACTTTGTACATTTGTAGGTGAATATCAATGTTTCGGAGAAACATACTACTTCCATCTTCAGAGCTGTTCTATTGATCAAGACTCGGCTTCATCACCCGTCTACAGTGGCTCTATCTGGGCAATACTCCAATCTTGAAAACCTTCCTCTTTTCAAACATGAAGATAAAGGCGGCTAATTCCTCCGAAATGGTGTTATGTAACCAGAAGGTTACTATCTAAAAGCATGTGTGATTGGTTGCAAATGTTTGTCAACTACATCGTAACAGATCACAAGACAAAAGCTTGTTCACTGTAACTGAAATACACAGTAATCTTTTATTCGGAAAAAAAATCTTGAGACAAAATAGAATTTTATCGGATGTGTAACCCTTCCACGCGTTCTCCATATTTATGGCGTAACGCATTAAATCTTAAATATTTCGTCAACAATTAAAGTACAATGGTTTAAGGATCCGAAAGGAGACGGTTCTCTTTTAAAGAGATTTGACTTAAAACTGAAGACGTTCTGCAGTCGACCAGACCTGATTATTTAAAGCAGTGATACGGTGGATACATCCAAGACAATTTTCTCGCAAATCTCTGATTCTGACATTTTCATTATTTTTTTGCTGAGAGGTAGATATACCAGAGGAAAGGGAGATTATCTTCCATTACAAAGGTTTTTTTTTTGTATTTTGTACACATTTTATAACAAAACGAGGCAATAAATCAATAGATTACTTTAAGAACTGACTTAAGTAATGAATATTTGTATTAAAGTCGATGTCACTGCAAATGACCAGACTTTATGTGTGTGATTGATTAAAGCGTTTTATAGACACTGTCACCCTTTAAAGCCCAATAGTAACCCACATTCAATAAATTTGTATTTTGTATTTCCGTCTTTTCAAGAGATTATCACTGTAAACAGCGATTAAATCCTTAAACAGCGTTAACCAGTTAATCTTTGTAATGGTGAAGTGTCGTGTTTTCTTTGCGGTACGGGCTTAATTCTTAAATCTTATTTATACGAGCTTCGGCTTTAAAAGGTTAACCAGTTGATCTTTGTAATGGTGAAGTGTCGTGTTTTCTTTGTCATGTGATAATATTTTTGTATCAAACTGAACTTGGATTCATACGATTTACGGGGCATGAGTTTAGCTTAATCTCTCATGATACGGTTAGCATAATTACAGAATCTGAACTGTTCTGCTTCAAATTATGAGTTTCTGAAATTAAAACTCTGAAAAATATTCGTGTACACAAGGTAACTCAATCACAGAATAGTGCAACTCAAAATTTCCTGTGATTTTACCGAAAATAATCTTTTCGCAAAGACATTTCAGTAACACAAAGCGATCTAGGTGTTTAGAACATAATAAACTTTCTAACTGCCTTGTTCAGTCTGAATTTGAAAGTATCTTTTATTTCAGTTAACTATTAGAATTTTATAAGTAATATTTAATTTCGGGTACCTTTCGCTGGACCGGTGTTTAATTTGGCAAATATGTGACTATACTTCTAACAAGTTTCTTCTGCTATAATAACAAACGAGAAATAATAACAAAAAAAAAAGGATATATACGACAACCGAAAAGAATCTTTTAAACTACGCAGACCTCCTTTTATATTCCGTCAATCTCGGATTATTAAAAATGGAAGGTTAAAAATACAAATATGCTCTTCAACCGCCCTCGTACTTTCCCCTTTCTCGTCCTTTTAAAATAATGAGGTAACATGTTACATTATTTCTTCCTAACCCCCTGAGGCTCCTTCTGGGTTTCTGTTCAACATATTTCGTTACGAGACACAGGGAAATAGAACTGAAAACAGGAATAGTCGAATCGATTCAATTATCGAATATAAGCTTCTACATAATTCACAAATAAAAAGAAAACATTTTTTGTAGACCGATAGGAACTGAGGTTTTCACGGCTGTGAATCTGAACCTAAGATTGCTGTCTTCTGGGGGCTGTCGCACCGTGTAGTCGACGTTTCAGAGGTCCCTGCTGCCCCCATCATCAGGGCGATTAGATCATCTAGGTGTTTTGTCAAAGCGGTAACGCGCTTTGAATATAACAATAATCGAGTTCGAACTTTGGCTGAAACAAAGCTTTAGTAACTTTTTTTGAGAGATATATTAAGTTTCAGTAGTATCTTTCACGGACTCAGACACTCGCAAAGTAGCCATATTGGTGATGGTGACTACGGGAATTTAAGAGCGAAAAATGGCTTATATCGTCCATTGCCATAATGACAGAACACTAAATAATAATAAGATGAGATGGTCTAGCGGTTAGAACGCTGGCCTTGTAATCCTGGGGGTCTCGGGTTCGATTCCCGGCGGTGCCCGAATTTATAACTTGTGTTGGACAAGGCCGTCGTCTAGGCAACACGGAGTTTTCCTCCGTGGCATCCCAACAATTACTCCATTCACACACAGAAGAAGGCAATGGCAAACCACTTCTGGATCATCTGCCAAGAACGTATATGAACAGGTCCCAGTCCGAGAAAAGGATGGAAGGATCCTGTTCATATGGACCTGTCGTCAGACAGAACACTAAATAAATAAAAATAATGTTATCTGTCTTTAGTGATTTTTCTGTACTATCAAATAAGATAATTATTAATTTAGAATAATTTAAATACACTTCTTCACAAAATTTTACTCTCCAAATTTTATAATCAAAATTACATGTTGAAAACACACTGTAATTTTAAGCTGCCAGGTGTCAGATTAAGATGGTTCCTGAACGGTAAAACAGGACTCTGTTTATGCACGTTAGTGAAACACAGCTGATACCATGTTAATGCAAAACGCCACTCCACTGTGGCTAGGAGCTTCAAGTGGTTATGTAACGCGTAGTCTGTTGAAACAGCAGGCCAAAACCTCTTGCAGAAATCAATAGCATTATAAGACGCGGCAAGTTGTGTGCAATGGGGGCGCACTTGTTAAAGGAGAAAGAAATGCCCCGAGGGGACAGATAAAGGAAGGCATCAAGGCAAAATATACGCAGAGAAAAGGAGACGAAAATGTCCAGGGCGTGGAGTTAATAGGCAAGAAGCGAACTGAACTCAGTACAACGCAAAGGAAAACGGAGATACGTTGGACATATCTCGAAATCTGTTGTTTTAATTTTCAATCCAATTTGTAACCAAAATTCGCAGTTCGACTAAAACGCATTTGAAGTTCTTCAAAAGCTTCTTCTGTCTCAGAAAAAAACGTTCTTCATTTAAACTTCCCAAACCGAATATCGGACCACAAGGAAAGAGTCACTTCCGAGACCTAGAAGTAGAATTAAATGAAGGATAATATTAAAATTAAGACTGTATACCAGAATGATCTACTCAAGACAGGTGTCAGCGGCGGGCTGTTGTGAGCACATTAATAAACAT